CTATTGTAATGACTTCTTTTAATGATCAGAATAAAGACCAAACTCTGCACCATGGTCTGAGCATGAATGGGCACTGCCAAACTTCCAACCCCATTTTTTTCCCTTTGCCTACCTCATTCTAACTACATAGACTTTTTTTCTTCCAGTTTCTAGCCGCTCCCAGAACTTTCCTGCCTGTGGCTTTTGCATATTCTGTTGTCCAGAGCTTTCCTTAATCACCTCTTGGCACAGTTGATTCCTCAGTTTCCTCCTTCTCTGACCTTCTTATCTAAGTGCCACTATCACCAGGTACTCTCTTAAGAGAACATATAACTCTGTTGATCCTCTTTTTAATGTCAGGCCCTCACCCACCACCCAAATGTAAGTCCTGCAAGGGGTAGACTTAAACCTGCCTTGGTCACAATATTGCTCATGTCAGGCAGGCAGCAAGCCATACTGGTTGAATCAAAGGATGAATGAATGAATTGGTAGGGTCTTGCTTTGGTGGAGCTGGCATAACCTTGGGTAAGATTTATGTTGTCTGTATCAAAGGGGTATTTCGTGGGTTTGCAAAGATAGACTCCAAGAGTACAGACACCTTAACTGTGAGTATCCCACCCAGACTTTTGAGGAAAGTGAGGCTAGCATTTAAAAGGGATGGAGAATCCCCTGGAGTCAGTCTTGGTGCTTAGAAATTGAAGTATATGAATTATATCCACTAAGCCCCTGACTGCATCAGTAAGCAACTATGATTTACATGAGGGATAAAGGGGCTGGATAAGGAATCAGGATCACCATCTAAACAGGATCACTATTTCTTAGAGGCATCAAAATGTTTGCCATTTGTGAACTCTATCTCTACAGGTAAGTTTGATTTGAATCCATCTTAGGAGCTAATCTATGCCCTGCTCTGTGCTGAGGCAAAACTTACTAGGGAGTTGGGGTTCATTGCGTACAAAAGAATTGGCATCAAAATATTACAACCACCATTTTGGATCTAAATACACATCCTGTAGGTGAAATGTCAAAAATATTTGTTCATAGAAATAGTAAGTGCTGGGGTCACCAAGATGTGGAGCAATTCTCTTCAAAGCTAAGAAGGAAACGTCCCCTGTGTCCTGAAGCCACCATTCAAAAAACAGATCAATATACAACCTAGGACAATGCTAACCTTGTGACTGCTTCAGAAGCAAAATCAGTCTACTGGCTACTGGCAGCCTTATTCTGGGATGCCTAGACCAGGAAAGTACCTTCAATCACTAGGCAAAGTCAAACAAAGGTAAAGCTTAATTCCTCTGAATGGTCTAATACGGAAGGCTCAATCCATCTAAATATTTACATGGCATACATCCTCACAGAAGTCAGACTTTATCCAGCAATTACTGGTCCATCTTGTTGAAAACTGGCCTGGGGGAAGCAGCTACAACAGAAGGGCATAAGGCCTCAGGCTGACTCTCAAATCTGCACTATGAAAGAAAGAGACTGTCCAAGAATCTTTACGCCTTGATTCATGAATTCAGCCTCATGGAAGCAAATAAATATGGGACTAGAATATAAAAACTTTTTTAAAGAACCACAGGGAAATAAATGGGTCACACTTATTTAGGTTCTCTCCAAAATATTTTACGACAGAAGCAGTATCTGGTATAATAATGAAAAGTAATAATAAAAATCATAAATGCTAGGTCTATTTGAGAAGACTTCCATACGCGAACCTTTTTGCAAATCACTTCCCTAAGGAGATAAGCTTTTCCCTGCCTCAGAGGGTTGAGCCCTGCAAGCTCGGGCTGCTACAGCTGGTGTCCACAGAGAGAAGATGCAGAGGCCTGCCTCGTAGGGCAAAGGAAAGGATGCAAATAGCTGAGTGCCCCTCAGTCTCTCTCATTAAAAAACACTATATGCCCAGGGAATGCTCACCAAGGTGTTTTTATACTACATGTCTGGGCTGCTTAGCTCATCTGCCTACAACCAAAAATGTTTTTAGCATGCTTATTAAGAGTGCAGGTTTAGGCCCTGGCGCATTCTGATTCTTCAGTTCTGGGGCAGGGACAGAGCAGGAACCTGCACTTTTTAGTCAGCACTTCAGGAGACTGTGAGGTACCCAGTACCAAGGCAACATTTGGGGAACTACTGGCTTAAAGCAGCATTTCTCAAACTTGGGTCACTGGATGCTTTGCTGAAAGTTCCACATAGAGAATTTTTACATTCTGTATTTTGTTTTTAATAAGTTTTCAAATATTAAGACATCCTGGATTATTTGCATGATAATTTCATACCCAAACACTACGAGACTTCCACTAAAGGTTTACAATCGGGTTGTACTTTTAACTTTGTCTCAGACCAAAAAGTCTTTACTCAGATCCAGACCTGATTTGAATATTCACACCAAAGTGAAGCTTGAATGATATCTCTTCATTCACTCAGGAAGGAAACAGAAGAAGGAAAAGAGCAGATTTTTGACATAGAACACTGATGTATTGAATTGGAGGTAGGGGGACTTGGAGCTCAGAATAGAAGACTTCTTCCAAAGCCAGAGATCTGGAAGGTGCCACACACACAGCAGTGACTAAAAACCTGTGTGGGTTAGAGCAAGGAAGCGAGGGTTGAAGGAAGACAGGGACAGAACGCAGGGGCCAGACAGAGGAACTGGAAGGAAGGTAGCAAAGAGACTGGCAAAGAGGTCAGAGACTGAGGGCAGACCCAGGAAGGAGGAACATCAGGGAGATAAGGGAGGAAAAAGCTTTGAGAACAGTCTCATGTGAATGGATATTTGTCCCCAGTTTTACTGCTAAAAGAAATAAGTTAGAAAAGTCTGTTCAATGGGATATCACTTGTGCAGTAAAAAATTGTGTATGCCCAAACATAACAAGAAAATTTCTCAAAGGAACAAGAACAACAACAGCAAAACCAAACAGAAGTTTGTGGTGATCTCTGAGACTTAGGACTGCCAGGTTGGAAGAGGGGAAATTTAACTTTTTATTTTGACCACTTCTTATAATTTAAATGTAATATTTTGAACATCTTATTTTCTCACTAATGTTTTAAAGACTATTCAGCAGTGTGACATTAAAGTACCAAAGAGGGTAAGAAAGATGAGACTTAACACAGGTCACTTTGGGGAGTAAGAAGGTTGTCATTGGCAACCATCATCAGAATGGTTTCACATCAGAATGTGAAAGCTAACGTCCATGGTTTAAAACTCTGCTTCTCAAGCTTCAACGTGCACAGGAATCGTGAGGGAATCTCAGTAAAATGCAGATTCTGATCCAGAAGGTAGGTCTGGGATGCAGCGTGACATTTCTAACAGGCTCCCACATGACATCCACGTGGTTGATCCAAGCACTATGTTTTCGAGTTGCAAGGAAAAGTAATCAGAATGCAGGGAATGGAAATGAGTGCCCGGAGACCAGTATTTCCTCAAAAATGCTCTCTAGAAGACGAACACTACAACACACCCTAATAAAAGATTCTGCAATCAAATACGTTTGGAAATACCACACAACCATCCTGATGAGTCACATGGAGGATGTTTAATTGGCTTTCACTCAGACGTTCCTAACAGGACTAATCTTGCCACAGTGAAAACTTAACTACCCTGTCAGAATCTAATAGGCCATCCTGGAAGGTAGGGGGGAGCAGAATGACAGGGTAGCAAGAGCTCAGGGGTGCACACAGAAGGGAAACTGGAATATGATGAACTACGTTTCGCCTCCAATGCAACAGTAGCAGAGGTCTCTGAAAGGTGATAAAGTGCCCAAAACAGACTTTGTTAGGGCACGCACACCACTAAAGCCTGGTGCTCCTTGACAGTGCTATAATGCTGTCAGATATCTGGCAAACCTTATTCTAAATATTTCTGGACCTTTCTAAAACTTAGTCCAGCATCAGCAGGATGGCTCCAGAGCCAGGAGGATGAACACATTTGTGAATGCATGAACCTGAATGCATTTACACTGCCAGAGGCTTCAGTGGACAAGAGCAGGAAACCGCAGAAGCTGACCTGAGCTCATTGCTGAGGGGAGTCACACTTGACTTGAGCATAATCCTGCTGTCCACTGACAGTGATTAAGAACAGCCTAGGGGAAGCTGGCCAGCACTGATCCGCCCACCTGCTGATATGGAGCAGGTGAGACCAGAAGAACCTCAGGGCTCAAATAACCTGCTGGCGGACTGTGTCATCTTCCCAGAACCTCCAGTGATTGCCTGCCCCAGAATGGCCTTTTAGACTCTCTTCACCGCTAATGAAGCTGAGCACTGAGTTTCAGTGGGAGACTGGATTTCAAAGGACCCCTCAAGTGCAGAGGAGAGCAGAGGCTATTCACCCAGGCCTGCCTTAATCCTTTGAAAAGACTGCCACTTTCTCCTCTCTAACGTCTAAACTTGGCAGCAGAGGGTCCAAGCCATGTGGGGCAACTTACACAGAGATTAAAATGACACAAGCACTGGCCATGAAAAATGCTCTGACACCTTTGTATTCACAGCTGCAGTTTTCCATCGCCTTAGCTCTTCACTAGATGTCTGGCCATTTGGTCAGTCCCAGCCATTGACTTGTCTCTCAAATTTACTAACAAGGGAAATGGACTGTGCAATACCATTCTCTCTTTATTAGTTCTCTTTATTAGATTTACTTGCTTTTGAGGATAAATACACTTGAACCTCACTGTGCACATGGTGACTATTTCACCATGAGAATGGTGATTAGGGGATAAAATAAAAACACATACCTGTGATAGTTCAGTGATATGAACCCATATTCCTCATGACTCAAGCTCTCCTGCTTGAGGACCACAAGGAACTGCAAGTTTGCATGCTAATACTGTTTCCCAAGGCTCCTTGAAAGCTGTAGGGCCCTTTCCCACCACAGAGTGGTGGTAGCAAAAGAATCCAGTATTTTTAATATTTGCCCAACAAATAAACATCCCCACTGCTACGTTCATCACTGAATATCCTCCCTATTGAACACACTAAATACACTTCAAACTCTCAGGGTTGAGTTACTCAGGAAATCAGGAGTCAATTACATTGGTCCTCACATGATGCCACGTGTCTAGGCCAATAGCAACCACGCAGCAGGTTATCATTTTATTACATTCCTCGAGGTTCCCTTCTTCCAACATGTTAATTTTAAAGAATTTAGAAGCTAGTCTCCAATCTATAATGAGAAAGATTTTGTCCTCTATTCCTATATGGAGCACTTTAATTGCTATTAACATCACTGAAATTAGTGTTTAAACAGAAAGTAGGGTGTATCCTCAAGATCACTTATCTCCAAAAGGCAAAATACTTCTAAAGAAACAAAAAGCAGAAGGGATGGATAGGAGGGAACCTTGAACAGAGTTGTGCTTTTAGGGCTTATTTTAAAGTTCCACCTGGGTGCTCTACCCAGGATCTGGAGAGAGACTGTGTATCTTTAATGTAGTCCATTAACTAGACTGTTCAGGGCCTAATTTATTCACCTGATTCTTTAATTCCTTTCTTGAATTCTGTAACACAACTGCAACTAGGTGTGGGGGATGATTTGGGGGACAGAATGCCATGCAATGTCTGGAAGATAAAATAATTACTTCCATTTTCCCTGCATTTGAAGACTTCATTCAACTCAAGATTTCTCATAGGGAAATATAATGGCCAAATTAAAATCATTCTAAGTTATAAGTGTCTTTAAAAATTAACTAGTCACCTTAGGTCTTGCTTAGGGACAAAAGAAACTATGGCACCTACTTTGGTCCCTGTCTTTCCTGACTAGCTGGGACACAAAAACTTACTGAGGTCCAAATCCCATTTTTTGGTTCCTATTTTTTTGTGGAGTTTTTTGGGGTTTTTTTTTTTTTTTTGGTATGAGAAAGGATGGTGCTGAGATCCTCTTGGCCCATTTAAGAAACAAATTTGTCTGGCAAAATGGATATGATAACGGTGGGTTCCAACACCTAGAGGGGACTGCAGCCACGCCCCATCACTGAGTGGGTGGGAAACTGGAAATAAGCCTGGACAATAACAAAAACCACATCCCTTCCCAAGCGAGGAAACCCAGCCTTGGAACGAAAGAAAGGACACTTTCATATCACTCAGGATATCTTGGAGTATACAGAGAGCCACTCATTATGGGGGGTGCTAGCGCAGCTGAGAGCACGTAGTTTGGCCACTTAAATCCTAGCTGCGAATCTGAATTTGCTCACTCCTCCCCTACCCACCTCGTATTGTTCTCTGGTTAACTGTTTGACCAGTTAGGACATGACCACTGGGCTGAGCCAGAACCACCCCTCTGCTGAGTACCTCAGAGCACCCAGAGGGAGGACAGGAAGCAGACAACCTGCTTTAATCAGGAAAGCCGTCACTTTACCTTTTTGCTTATTGAGAAACAGCAGAGGGGGCGCGACGCCAGGACCTCGAGGCCCAGGGCCCTTTGTGGCTGCGGGGCTTTGGTCAGAACTCGTAGCTTCCACAGGTTTCCACGGCGCCGCGGGCCCCTCGGGTATGGGGGCTCCGTCTCCAGAGGGCACTCCGGGCCGGTTTTTGGGGCGG